TGTGATCTCATTCTCCCAGATGCCTCAGCTAACCCAGTGGGGCCTCTTGAGCTGGGCTGACCCTTCAGTGTTGTTAAGATTGAATAAAGTGAGTTAGGTCTTTATATTATCCGTGTGTTTGTGTTTGTGTGTGATGGATTAATTATGGAACTCAAGGGTGCTTTACCACTGAGCAATATCCCCAATCCGTTTTATTTATTTTATTTTACTTTTTGCTGCTCTCACACAGTTTATTTAGAAGTTTGAAAATTAAAATGTGGGCATTTTTCCCTACATCAAACCATGCCCTGCCACTCCCAAACCCACAGCTGCTACTGCTACTCTGCTACTTCTCCAACCCTGCTTCCCACACACTCTTGCAAAACACACTCATGTATTAACCAACTATTTGGTAATATAAAGGAACTACAGAGTTGCACAAAATAATCTCATTTACTTCCTGTCACAGGCTATGAATGAAAAATTAAGGGATAAACACACTACTTTCATCCGGATTAAAACTTCCCTAACATTCTTTTTTTCTTCATCTAAGATGTTAAAATCCAAGCAGTTTCACTGGGATGTACTTCCCTTTTGAAGCTGACCTTTGCAAACTTGAGACTGAAGAAACCAGTCTCTCCACTGGAGCTTGGCCATGATGCTCTACATCAGGCAAAGTTACCATCCAGGTGCAAATGAGGCTTTAATAGTTATCAAAACTTAAAACCAAAAATGAGTAATGCATTAAAGTGGAACCTTCATATTTTTCTGTTGCAGCAAAAATCATCTGAAGGTGGCAGAACTGCCACAGAGAAGGCACCTTGTGCTAAAAGTCTAAAGAAGCAAGACAGTTGTTTATGGCCAATGTAGTAGAATTGGCTGTCATTGTTCTTTCAGATTTCAGATGTATTGTGGAAGAAAATCCACTTACTATCACATTTCAGGAAACTTTATTAATGACATATTGATGGGTTCCATAAACTTCTTGGAAAAGCGTAAGAGGAAAACTCTGATGTTATAGAAAGAATTCTGCTCCTCTCAGGAGTCCATGACAAGGGTCCTATTTTGCTGCTTTCATGTAGGAAGGTATTTCCCCATCACCTCCCTCCCCCCAGTTTTCAATCAGGTCCCCTAATCACTTGTATGTGTAATTGATGAAGATCCAGTCTTTGTCTTGTCATCAGTCTCAGGGTGATTACTTGCAGCCACTGTTGGCT